CCAGTTTAGTAGTTAATTTCTAATTATATTCCAGTTCAGTTCTACTTCAGTAGAATTGGTTACATTGGACTTGTTTCACTAAGACTTCATTCATCCAAAGAAGATGTCAAAAAGAAAGTGTTGACACATGCGACATTTTAGAATTTTATAAACTGTTACTTACTTAAATAACGCTGCAAACTAATATGATCGGTAATCTGTTCATCTCTTTCGTATTTTGATAAGGAGAAACAAACGGTGAGCTGGAATCCTCCATAGCGCTGGCATTGAAATTTGAATTATTCATCATGGAAGAATTCCAAGAAGCATTCTGCAATTGATGCTGCTGTTGTGGGCTAAGTACTTTGGCGGGGTGGTGTAGTGCGTGTATAACTCCAATTGGGAGAATTAGCGCCACGAGCTAGAAGTACAAAGCAATTAATAAAAATTTATGAAATAAAAAAACAAGAAATATTTACATTCATTGAAAGAAGAATGCCAACTGAGTATGGTATTATTGATATAGGGCTCCTGACGTTTATCACTAAACTGTTCCTTCTTTTTGGGGGTAGTAGTTATAAAGGAATTATCTATACAAAGAAAGTTGTATTACAAAATTGGTTGAAATTAGAAATATATTTATTAAACATACCATTATCATCAAATTTCATTAGATTTTTCTGCTGCCTGGTTCCCTGTACTGGTTGTGTGTAAAATATGTACAGAAAATACTTTAGAAAACTGGCCAACATACTAAGACCCACTATGGCGGCCACCCCATACTCAAGGTAATACCAGTTGGATTCGGCATAGGGACACTTGTTGCTGATGTCAAACAATAATATGGCCAATATGACCACATTAAAAGAACCCCATTTTAGGTAATATTTAGCTTTCGACGCTCTCATTTTTAAATCTAAACTTTGTTCCACCAAAACATTTTGTTTTAATGGCGTGCTATGAAGGAATTTCAATTCTTTTTCATATTTTTATAGTAAAAAAAATGTTTATATTACTTACCAATATGAATTCATACAATTCATTTTCTTTATTTACAATTTTAGACTAATTTTATTTAATTTGTTTGTATAATTAACTGCAAAAACTTATAAAAATATAAAAATTGTTTTCCCGGCGCCTTTTTTGCAATAAAATGCCGTCCAGCTGTTGTGTAGAGGTTATGTGTTACGCAGACCCCTGCGCCGACAAATATTAATGGCGACTGACACTAAACATGTTGGCGGGCGGCTTAAAATCGACTGTAAGTTTTAAACTACGATTAGTTTTTAAATTTTCAACGATTTTAAATAAAAACGGAATCCGAGAGATCAGAAAGTGGGATTTTGGAAGCAAATATATTGTTTTATAACCACAAAACAGAGCAAGTACAAAAGTTGTGTGAGAAATTATGCAGAGATGGATAAAAAATTCTTAAAAATTAAAACAAATCTTTTCTTCAAGTTTTACGAGGATCTGCCGATATTTAACCCTATCCTCCATATAAACCATCTTGCAGAAAATCAGTTTCTGAAAATTTTACATTTATTCAGTAATAAAAAGGCCAATTTGGGTAAAATAATATTACATAGTCCTGTCTGTTCTGTAAACCGAATCCGAGTAAATTTCTCGTTTAAAAACGAATTCGCATAATTTTTCTCATTTTAAAACCGAGTACACAAATCTAGTGGAAAGTAAATCGAATTTTATAATTAAATAATTATTTTTCTGCGTTTTTTAATACAATTGTAACTAAATATAAATGCTATGGGCATTTTACTTGTCATGTTTGCAGGTTTTTACCAGAACAAATCGAAATCCATTTTCCGCTTGAGAAATTGCTAATTTTGCCTGATTTTTTTTCACTAACAACTTTTGCCGAAAATATACAAATTTTTCACTTTGTATTGAAAGACCCTAGAAACGCCAAATTTTTTGCAAGTGACATCCCCGGATTTTGATAGAACTAGTTATTCACTGTTTCCGTTTTCAGAAACCGCTAATTTTGCCAAATTTTTTTTACTAACAATTTTTTGCCGAAAATCTACAAACAAATTTCAAAAATTCCAAATATGTATGAGTACTGTATCAAATTGTATGCACATTTCGAAATAATTTTTTCGTTTTCATATCAACGAGATATACATAATACAGCATCAGTTTCAAAAACAGACAAAAGTCATTTCCATTCCTTGTGGCGTCATTTCCATTATTCAAATGGAAATTTTTGCTGAGCCAACCAAGCTCAGCAAAAATTTACTGGGATGACACACGACACGTACATTTCTTATGGGACGATTTTGCTGAGATACCCCGCCTCTCAGTAGCTTTGCTGGAAATTTTTTGCTGAGCTCAGCAAAAATTGGAAAAATTAATGGAATGGGTTTTGAACAAACTAATGAAAGGCATTTTTACACGTAATGGTTGTTGTCTGTACTATAGTTTTGCTTCGGACTACGGGCGTGCTTACACTGGCAGTTTACAGAGCTGTATAATTAAAATAAAACGTTAATTTTGAATATGTCATTTGACTTTTTTTTAAATACATAAATGAAAAAGGTTGCTTTTGACATTAAATGTAAAATTATTAAATAATAATAAATGTAAAAATATGTTTAAAAAAAGTATGCCGGAAGACAAATATTAATTTCTTTCTTCAATTTTATGAAATCCTGATTTATCACTTAATTTATTTATAAAAATTCGTTGTAAGATTTTACAAAAATTAGTTAGTTACTTAGGTAGTTAGTTAGTTGGTCGGTTAGTTAGTTAGGTAGTTAGTGTAATTAGTTAGTTAGTCAGTTAGTTAGTTAGTTAGTTAGTTAGTTAGTCAGTTAGTTAGTTAGTTAGTTAGTTAGTTAGTTAGTTAGTCAGTTAGTTAGTTAGTTAGTTAGTAGTTAGTTAGTTAGTTAGTTAGTTAGTTAGTTAGCTAGTTAGTAGTTAGTTAGTTAGTTAGTTAGTTGTTAGTAGTTAGTTAGTTAGTTAGTTAGTTAGTTAGTTAGTTAGTTAGAGTAGTTAGTAGTTAGTTAGAAGTTAGTTAGTTAGTTAGTTAGTTAGTAGTTAGTTAGTTAGTTAGTTAGTTAGTTAGTTAGTTAGTTAGTTAGTTAGTTAGTTAGTTAGTTAGTTAGTTAGTTAGTTAGTTAGTTAGTTAGTTTAGTTAGTAGTTAGTTAGTTAGTTAGTTAGGTAGTTAGTTAGTTAGTTAGTTGTTAGTTAGTAGTTAGTTAGTTAGTTAGTTAGTTAGTTAGTTAGTTAGTTAGTTAGTTAGTAGTTAGTTAGTTAGTTAGTAGTTAGTTAGTTAGTAGTTAGTTAGTTAGTTAGTTAGTTAGTTAGTTAGTTAGTTAGTTAGTTAGTTAGTTAGTTAGTAGTTAGTTAGTTAGTTAGTTAGTTAGTTAGTTAGTTAGTTAGTGAGTTAGTTAGTTAGTTAGTTAGTTAGTTAGTAGTTTAGTTAGTTAGTTAGTTAGTGTAGTTAGTTAGTTAGTTAGTTAGTTAGTTAGTTAGTTAGTTAGTTAGTAGTTAGTTAGTTAGTTAGTTAGTTAGTTAGTTAGTTAGTTAGTTAGTTAGTTAGTTAGTTAGTAGTTAGTTAGTTAGTTAGTTAGTTAGTTAGTTAGTTAGTTAGTTAGTAGTTAGTTAGTTAGTTAGTTAGTTAGTTAGTTAGTTAGTAGTTAGTAGTTAGAGTTAGTAGTTAGTTAGTAGTAGTTAGTTAGTAGTTAGTTAGTTAGTAGTTAGTAGTTAGTTAGTTAGTTAGTTAGTTAGTTAGTTAGTTAGTTAGTTAGTAGTTAGTTAGTTAGTTAGTTAGTTCGTTAGTTAGTTAGTAGTTAGTAGTTAGTTAGTTAGTTAGTTAGTTAGTTAGTTAGTTAGTTAGTTAGTAGTTAGTTAGTAGTTAGTTAGTTAGTTAGTAGTTAGTAGTTAGTTAGTTAGTTAGTTAGTTAGTTAGTAGTTAGTAGTTAGTTAGTTTTAGTTAGTTAGTTAGTTAGTTAGTTAGTTAGTTATTTAGTTAGTTAGTTAGTTAGTTAGTTAGTTAGTTAGTTAGTTAGTTAGTTAGTTAGTTAGTTAGTAGTTAGTTAGTAGTTAGTTAGTTAGTTAGTTAGTTAGTTCGGTAGTTAGTTAGTTAGTTAGTTAGGTAGTTAGTTAGTTAGTTAGTTAGTAGGTAGTTAGTAGTTAGTAGTTAGTTAGTTAGTTAGTTAGTTAGTTAGTTAGTTAGTAGTTAGTTAGTTAGTTAGTTAGTTAGTTAGTTAGTTAGTTAGTAGTTCATTTAATAAAATAAAAAAATATATAATCGTTTTTTTTACTTTATTTATTGTTGCATTTTATAATTGAACATTATTAGTTTTATTTTTTATTTAATAATTAAAAATTGTTGCTTAAACATTTCCAGGTCTTGCGAACTCAGCCTCCATTCATCGTTACATAAACAGAATGTTGTCTAAATTTAATATATTATAGCTTTAAATATTTTTTACCATTTATTATTTTAAAAACTAATTGATTTATTCAATAATTTATTTATATAATTTGCCAGAGTTGTTTTCGATTTTTTTTTTACATTTTTTTCAATCATCAGAAGTTTCCCTATAATACAATAGCTTTTTTATTAAATTATAATTTTTGTAAAATTATAATCATTACAACTTTATTTGTAATTACATATAATACTGTTTTAAGTTTTTAAATATTTTACATTGTTTTGTTAAGGAAAATGTTTTAACTAAATACATGTAATAGGAAATAATTAAAGGCTTTCATGCAATTTTATTTAATACTTTCAAATACATAATTATAAAGTTTTAATAAATGTTAATAATATTGAATTATTTTATATATTATTTATTTATTGATATTAATATTTGAACTTATTACTAATATATTTAGTTATTTGTATAATAGTATATATATTTTTGGATTTAGTTTTTTATACATATTAATTCATATTTCATGTTGTTTTCTACTAAAGTTTAAAAAAGTGTTTTAAATTATTTTCAAATACCAGCAGCCACTATTAGTTTTTTAGTTTTAGGTTTTTTTTAATTACTTACATATAGAATCCTTGTTGTCTTATGGTTTTTCCGAATTTATTGGTTTTCAGCTAATTGTCCTGAGCGTTTACCCCCAGCTACCAGCTAATTTACGCCATTCCTTATTGCCGGCCCCGCTTGCCCACATTCCCTTCAAATTATTCAATTGGGTTCACGTTTACCCCAAGAACTGGCGCCTGCAGCAGAAGGTACAAAATCTATATATTAATAATTTTAACAATTACTTGCAGTTACTAAACTAACGAATCTCACCTCTATTCATGTAGGGTCCAGCATTACGTCTCTTACCCCAGGCAACATTCATTTTTCTTCCAACCTCTCTTTTCATTCAGAATATTCTCATTTTCGACATCATTGTTTTCATAGTTAGCGCGGGGCGGGATTTGCAAAAAATGCCAATACTGGCACCACTTCTCCATTTTCCATCATGGCGCTATCAAAATTGGCTTCCCTCTTACCCCATGGATGCATTAAATCACCCCATGTTTGTGCCTCTCTCTTATCCCATGAATGCACCATATCATCATCATTATCCATCATAAATCATTTTCATTGTCGCTAACTGTGGGAATTTCGGGAGTAACAGCATTAGCACAGACCGTTCCTAGATTTGTGCCTTAGTAGAGTCATAGCCAGTAAAATTTGTAGGGTGAACAAATAGGCCCAAGGCTGATTGAGGGAAATTGTCATATGCATTGTGTTTTAGTTGATTGATTTAAAGGGAAAACTGTAACGATAATGAAATAAATATTTATTTTAATTTTATTAATGGAAAAGAACTAAGTCCACTTTTTTGTGACAAATTGTTTATTATTACTTAAGAATAGAACCTGAATAATACATATAATATATATTAGACCTGTTTCACTGGAACTTTGGGATTGGTTTTGATTTGTTCGGTAAAGACTCAGTTTATGTAGAAAATTTTGATCTGATTCAGACAAATTTTTCATTCTCTTTAAGCTTTTTAAGCCTAAAGTAGGTATATAGAGTTGTAGTCTGTCAGACTGAAGGATCGTTTGATCGAGTTCCACTAGAGACATTGGTAAAGGTGTATTTCGATTTTGAGTGTCTCATACGTCCCACATACATTACATATTAGTCTATAGTCTAATTTATAGTCTAGTCTATAGACGGACACTCTAGTGTAGTCTATAGTCTAGTCTATAGTGTAGTTTATAGTGTAGTCTATAGTGTAGTCTATAGTCTAGTCTATAGTCTAGTCTATAGTCTAGTCTATAGTTATAGTCTCTAGTCTAGTCTATAGTCTAGTCTATAGTCTAGTCTAGTTATTAGTCTAGTCTATAGTCTAGTCTATAGTCTAGTATAGTCTAGTCTATAGTTCTAGTCTATAGTCTAGTCTATAGTCTAGTCTATAGTCTAGTCTATAGTCTAGTCTATAGTCTAGTCTATAGTCTAGTCTATAGTCTAGTCTATAGTCTAGTCTATAGTCTAGTCTATAGTCTAGTCTATAGTCTAGTCTATAGTCTAGTCTATAGTCTAGTCTATAGTCTAGTCTATAGTCTAGTCTATAGTCTAGTCTATAGTCTAGTCTATAGTCTAGTCTATAGTCTAGTCTATAGTCTAGTCTATAGTCTAGTCTATAGTCTAGTCTATAGTCTAGTCTATTAGTCTAGTCTATAGTCTATAGTCTAGTCTATAGTCTAGTCTATAGTCTAGTCTATAGTCTAGTCTATAGTCTAGTCTATAGTCTAGTCTATAGTCTAGTCTATAGTCTAGTCTATAGTCTAGTCTATAGTCTAGTCTATAGTCTAGTCTATAGTCTAGTCTATAGTCTAGTCTATAGTCTAGTCTATAGTCTAGTCTATAGTCTAGTCTATAGTCTAGTCTATAGTCTAGTCTATAGTCTAGTCTATAGTCTAGTCTATAGTCTAGTCTATAGTCTAGTCTATAGTCTAGTCTATAGTCTAGTCTATAGTCTAGTCTATAGTCTAGTCTATAGTCTAGTCTATAGTCTAGTCTATAGTCTAGTCTATAGTCTAGTCTATAGTCTAGTCTATAGTCTAGTCTATAGTCTAGTCTATAGTCTAGTCTATAGTCTAGTCTATAGTCTAGTCTATAGTCTAGTCTATAGTCTAGTCTATAGTCTAGTCTATAGTCTAGTCTATAGTCTAGTCTATAGTCTAGTCTATAGTCTAGTCTATAGTCTAGTCTATAGTCTAGTCTATAGTCTAGTCTATCTTCTAGTCTATAGTCTAGTCTATCTTCTAGTCTATAGTCTAGTCTATAGTCTAGTCTATAGTCTAGTCTATAGTCTAGTCTATAGTCTAGTCTATAGTCTAGTCTATAGTCTAGTCTATAGTCTAGTCTATAGTCTAGTCTATAGTCTAGTCTATAGTCTAGTCTATAGTCTAGTCTATAGTCTATCTAGTCTATAGTCTAGTTTATAGTCTAGTTTATAGTCTAGTTTATAGTCTAGTCTATAGTCTAGTCTATAGTCTAGTCTATAGTCTAGTCTATAGTCTAGTCTATAGTCTAGTCTATAGTCTAGTCTATAGTCTAGTCTATAGTCTAGTCTATAGTCTAGTCTATAGTCTAGTCTATAGTCTAGTCTATAGTCTAGTCTATAGTCTAGTCTATAGTCTAGTCTATAGTCTAGTCTATAGTCTAGTCTATAGTCGAGTCTATAGTCTAGTCTATAGTCTAGTCTATAGTCGAGTCTATAGTCTAGTCTATAGTCTAGTCTATAGTCTAGTCTATAGTCTAGTTTATAGTCTAGTCTATAGTCTAGTCTATAGTCTAGTTTATAGTCTAGTCTATAGTCTAGTCTATAGTCTAGTCTATAGTCTAGTCTATAGTCTAGTCTATAGTCTAGTCTTAGTCTAGTCTATAGTCTAGTCTATAGGTATAGTCTATAGTCTAGTCTATGTAGTCAATTCTAGTCTATAGTCTAGTCTATAGTCTAGTCTCTTGTTTAGTCTATAGTCTAGTTAGTTGGTATAAATGTATATTTAAGTTAAATCTCTGGTTATTTGTTCATACAAATTAAATGAATTTAAAATCATCGCTTAAGATTTATTTCTAATACTTTATGGACAAAACCACAACAATATTGTGTCAATAACAACCACATAACGTGATATATTCTCAAAACACTTACAATCAACTCCTTACATTTCACCTTAAACTCATGCTGCGAACATAATTAACCGTCAAAACACTTATAGCAACCATAATAATAGTTTGCGGACAAAAATGACACCTACGCCCAATGGGTGATGGTGTTGGCATTTAGCTGAATACTTGAGATGTAAATCTATACTTGAAAAGTTTAAATAACAATCAAAAGCAGGAAGTAATATGTAGAATTTTTACAAAGGGGTGTGGGATCCCATAGTAGAATTTCCCTTGTTATTACTTTTACCCACATACTAAAGTGTATGTACGTAGTATTACTTATTACGCACACTGAATTCCTGCGGATGTTCTGCGTTTTGTGTGCACATTAATTACCCCAAGTCAATGAGACATTTGACCGCAACTTTTTTTTTTTTGGTTTTTGAGAAATTATGACTTTTAACACACACTTTGTCCTAATTAAAGCCTAAAATTATGCTACAAATGTGACATTAAGTGCAATAACACTTTCTCATTACTTTCATTAGAGAATTTTTGTGAATGAACGGAAGCACCACATGAGTGTGTATGTGTTTTAGGAAACCAATTAAAAGTTGTTGTTTTTCAGTCTCAAGGGATAAATTTAAAATATTTCCAACGTTATGACAGTGCTTAGTTAACTTTAACCCCAACAAAAACAACAACAATAAAATGAACAACTTTTCACCTACAAAACAAACAACAAGTGTGTTGGTGTGCAATGAGTAACTGACGGAAAAATAATAAAGTAATTTACACATTTATACCTACAATCCTCTTTAATTGATTAAATGTCTACTGAAGAAGGAGTAGAGAATTACGTAAAAACTTAAATACACAAAACATTTACTCGAACACGCATTAGAACTGACATCTTTCGAAGGAAATTATATTATAAGGACAAAAGTTTTGAGGCCTTATTAGAGGCTAAATCATAACTTCGGAAAAATTTTAGACTTTTTGTTTCTAGTTTCTCTTTCTTAAGTTTTCTAGAAATTTCTTTGGAAAAAAGTGCCAAAATCCAATAGGAAATTAGTTTGAAGAAAGTCAGGAAAAGGTCTGCAAAATATGCCCCTTAGAAGGCCTTTTTACATTTAATTTTTCCTTAAATATTTTCTATATGAGGAACATATCGATACACGGTGGGTTGGAATAAATGTTATATTTAGCCTAGTCTGTAGTCTAATCTATGTCTAGTCTATAGTCTAGTCTATAGTCTAGTCTATAGTCTAGTCTATAGTCTAGTCTATAGTCTAGTCTATAGTCTAGTCTATAGTCTAGTCTATAGTCTAGTCTATAGTCTAGTCTATAGTCTAGTCTATAGTCTAGTCTATAGTCTAGTCTATAGTCTAGTCTATAGTCTAGTCTAGTCTAGATCTAGTCTATAGTCTAGTCTATAGTCTAGTCTATAGTCTAGTCTATAGTCTAGTCTATAGTCTAGTCTATAGTCTAGTCTATAGTCTAGTCTATAGTCTAGTCTATAGTCTAGTCTATAGTCTAGTCTATAGTCTAGTCTATAGTCTAGTCTATAGTCTAGTCTATATTCTAGTCTATATTCTAGTCTATAGTCTAGTCTATAGTCTAGTCTATAGTCTAGTCTATAGTCTAGTCTATAGTCTAGTCTATAGTCTAGTCTATAGTCTAGTCTATAGTCTAGTCTATAGTCTAGTCTATAGTCTAGTCTATAGTCTAGTCTATAGTCTATCTATATCTAGTCTATAGTCTAGTCTATAGTCTAGTCTATAGTCTAGTCTATAGTCTAGTCTATAGTCTAGTCTATAGTCTAGTCTATAGTCTAGTCTATAGTCTAGTATAGTCTAGTCTATAGTCTAGTCTATAGTCTAGTCTAGTCTAGTCTATAGTCTAGTCTATAGTCTAGTCTATAGTCTAGTCTATAGTCTAGTCTATAGTCTAGTCTATAGTCTAGTCTATAGTCTAGTCTATAGTCTAGTCTATAGTCTAGTCTATAGTCTAGTCTATAGTCTAGTCTATAGTCTAGTCTATAGTCTAGTCTATAGTCTAGTCTATAGTCTAGTCTATAGTCTAGTCTATAGTCTAGTCTATAGTCTAGTCTATAGTCTAGTCTATAGTCTAGTCTATAGTCTAGTCTATAGTCTAGTCTATAGTCTAGTCTATAGTCTAGTCTATAGTCTAGTCTATAGTCTAGTCTATAGTCTAGTCTATAGTCTAGTCTATAGTCTAGTCTATAGTCTAGTCTATAGTCTAGTCTATAGTCTAGTCTATAGTCTAGTCTATAGTCTAGTCTATAGTCTAGTCTATAGTCTAGTCTCTAGTCTATAGTCTAGTCTATAGTCTAGTCTATAGTCTAGTCTATAGTCTAGTCTATAGTCTAGTCTATAGTCGAGTCTATAGTCTAGTCTATAGTCTAGTCTATAGTCTAGTCTATAGTCTAGTCTATAGTCTAGTCTATAGTCTAGTCTAGTCTAGTCTATAGTCTAGTCTATAGTCTAGTCTATAGTCTAGTCTATAGTCTAGTCTATAGTCTAGTCTATAGTCTAGTCTATAGTCTAGTCTATAGTCTAGTCTATAGTCTAGTCTATAGTCTAGTCTATAGTCTAGTCTATAGTCTAGTCTATAGTCTAGTCTATA